GGTGCAAGTTTCATTTCTGGATTCCTGCTGAAGCATACTTGTTGTTTAGAATGTCATTGTCCATATCATTCCATCTTGTAAATTGTAGAAGAGTTTGGTAGAGTCTTAAACATAATGATGTATTGCATGAGTTAGAACCTTTAGCTTTTTAAAGTCACTTTTGAGGCGCTGGAAAGGTGAGAAAATATTACATGTAAATGTAGGACTGAAGGTTTGAAGTAATGCATATTTCTCAGAGCAACTTGCTAGACTGACATCTCAATCCTGGGCTGAAGACTAGGCATCCAGGGTAATTTGACAGAGCTTTTGAGAACATCCAGTTGTTCAAGTCTGCTGAAACTTAGATTCTTCTTTTGGGGCTTATAAGTCTAGTTTGGGTTCACCATTGCCGGATCAGTGCTGCCCGGTCATTGTGATCCATGGCCTTACTCCTCCCGATTTGCAGCTTTACAGAATCAGCAGACTGCTGACACTCTTTCAGTTTGTTTTGAAAACCAGAATAAACATGAAATGCCATCACTGTGCAAAGCCCTAACTATCTCCCCTGATCCATCACTAACACGGATGTGACATGGCAGCAGCATTCTCCCCAGCCAAACGAGCCATAAACACAGCTATTTCCACAGCCTGCAGCCCAATTAAGAATGAGAGCGAGGTCTGAAATCCTCCTACTTTTCCATCTGTCATGCCAATCAACCCACTTGCTGACATCTTGACAACAGCATGAGGGGGCATAATGCGGGGTAGCTCCAGTGACATACCAGGAATTGTGTCATGGGTAAATTCAATCCCCTTGATCTCTAGTTACAAATGCTGAAAGAGGAAAAGAAAGGAAAAACATTGGAATACTTGAAAAAAAAAAAAACAAACCAGTATTAGCTAAAAACAGTCTCCAGGCTTGGTTATAATGATAACACATGGAATTAGTAGAATTGATGGAGCTTGGGCTTCTGCTCATTTCAGCTGTTATTCTGCTAATGTTCTACATTGCAGTATAACTAGGCATCCTATGATGGCTTCAAACCCGAAAAGTATAAACACCAAAAAACTGACCTTAGTTGAGCATTTTCCTGTTCATCACTCTTCATCCATAGCTGAAGTATCGCAGTAGCTGTCCATGTAGAGTATCAGCTAATGTTGGAATTACAGGTCTCCTTAACATCCATAAAAGACATGAGAAACTGCTTAAATGCTGTATTGGTGTAACTGTATATTTGTATTCCTCAGAGGCAAGTTTCAGACATAGGACTCCTTGTATTCCAGGTTAACATATGTTTCTTCCCTTTGCATGGACATTCCAGCTTCTCATCTTGGGGCAACTTCCTGGGGTGGGTGTTGAGTGAGGAGGACTGAATTAATGGTTAAGGAGCAATAGGTACTAGAGCTCTCCACAGGAGTCAAAGGGTTTGCTGTGGTGTGCAGGGCAGAGGGGCTGCTGTAGTTGAAAACAGAGCTACTCTCTTCTACTGAGCACAGCTGGGGTGATCCCTTGAGCCTCAGTAGGGTTGAGGAGGTCTCAAAAGTGGCTGGCAAATGAAAGCCACTGTTATTGCTTCAGAATTGCAGCTATAAGATAGTCCTTCTGTGGCATGCTGTTCTTCTTATTCCCTGTCAGAGATAGCAGTCACACGTGCCTTATTTTGCTGCATACTTCTTTTGAGCAATCTTGGCCTAACTGGGGATTTTGTACTTGGTACTCTGGAGGGACTCTGGGTTGGGACACTCCCTGACTCAGGAGGGATTGGCTTGTGGCTTTGGGTGATGGTGGACTGTATTTCAAATGTAGCATCCAAATCCCAGCACTGCAGTGTGGGGCTGCGTTACAGTCCTATCAGGATTGTAAAAAAGCTAGCAAAGGCTGGTGGGGCTGGAACTACCAGAGCCCTTTGGTGTCATCCTCAGCCTGCCTTGTTCTGCTGGAAGCAACTACTCTCCAAAGAGCCATTACTATTGCCCACCTTTCAGCAGCTCCTGCAGCACCTCTCACCTTCAGCTCCCACCCCTTCAGAACTTCTGAGAATTTTCTAGGATGGGGAAGAAAACACAAAACAGACTCCAGCACAGACTTAAAGTGTCCACTGGGATCAAACTCACCAGTGTGAGAATCAGTCATAGCTGGTTTTGAGATGTACCACATGATAACTGCCTTTCTTTTGACCAGTGCCCTGCTAGAGCAGAACTCACTCCAAACAAAGGTCTGGTCTGAAGGATGGTGCCTCCAACAAAACATCAGTTCTTTGACTCTGTCCTGTGGTTTAGGTAATGGATGTGGACTTGAATATTTAAGATTGTGTCATGGCCAAGAAGGCTAGCAATTATCCAGTTCCAAAATTGTTTGAGCAATAAAAGGATTAATGAAGTTTTTAAAATCATAATTATGATCTATTCTGCAAATTGCTCTTAAAGCTTCCTTAATTCCCTTTCTGTTCTCTCTTTTTAACTTTCTTTTCTTTCCTTTGTGGTTTAGGAGCAATTTGCTCCTACACTTAAGTGTAAATGTCTGCTTATGACAGAGGGAAACTGCTGATCTGGCACACAGATTTCAGCAGTGGATGATTTTGATTCACTAGAGCTTGGAGCAATGATGACATGTTAGTTACTGCAACAGAGAGAGACACTTCATAAAGCTGCTCTGAAGTGGCCATACACTTGCTAATCAAATCACAGTGAAAGTGCTAAACTTCTGGCTCCTGAAGTGCATCAGGTTTGGTGCTAGACTCCTAATTGAATCACCAACTGACATTTTTTGCATTCTCTTCGGCCTTTTAAGGTACTGCGAGGTAAAAAGATTTTGTGGATTCCTTCTGGAAGGGAAAATAGACAGTGAATATTTCTATTTTGTATGGCCATGAGTAAGGCTAGGCAACCCTTATTTTCACGATGAGGCTTCATATGAACTTGAAAGATGTTTTTATGATGTTTAGTACATACACATGAAAGAATACTGCATCAAAGTATTTGTTGACATTTTTTGTTTTTAAGTATGTTCCAGATATATTTGCTTAGGTGGTATTCTGGGGTGCTGTCAGCTCAATCTCTGATGGACAGAGGCATCACATACATACCCAGTAGTTATCAAAATTCTCAGTGTACTTGCCAACAAAATATATTACAGTGTACTGAACTATTATCATATTTTTGGTTCTAGGATATCTGGACTATCAGCCACCCATATCTCCTGCCCTGCTTTGCATTGTTCTATTTCTTCCCTCCAGAGCTCTGGTCCCAGTGTAGTTTCTGCTGCAGCAGAGGAAAGCAGTGTTTCCGAAGCACAGTGCTAGGTAGAAGGTTCAATGTCCCAGAGTACAGAAAGGTAACGCTACCAGTTCTGCCCTTGCCAAAAAGTCATAACTCAGTAGCATCACTGCACATGGTGATGCCTCGGCATCTAAGAGCAGGTTCTCTGCATTGCTGGAGTTCTCCAGCACCACAGGTTTCCCCTCGGTCAAGTGTGGGCACATAATCATGTTTCTGTCAAATTAGCCAAGGCACGGGATGACGTTTGTGTCAGATTTATCCTTTTATGTTGGCTTTTTATGCTGGCACTGGGAGGAGAGATGGTATCTGACCTGGCAGAAAGTGGGAGTTGTAGAAGCACTGATACCTCATCTGGCATAAAACCTGTCAGTACAAAATTAAGTCATCATTTTTCTTTATTTGAATTGGCAGTGTGAGTTCATTCTGGATCAGCACTTTCATCATGTGTCTGGCAACATTTCTGACAGAGTATTAAGAACCCTAAAGCAGGATTTACTGAGTTGTGGGACCACAAACTTATTGTTTGAGCTTACTCTGATAAATGGGCAGGGAGCTACTGGGTGGCAGTTTTTACCAGGTTTCAGAATGCTACTACCCAGAGCAGTTTTCTACTTAGGAACAATTTCCCCCTTCATGAAAAGAACACCCTCAAAATTCCTATGTAACTAATAAACCCCACCCCAACACAGAAAAATCCATGGATTAAAGGATCATATGTAACTTCTGACACACTGCTCCAAATGAAACCTTTTGTGTAAATGGAAAAAAGAATCCTTTTGTGGTGTAAAAAGTCAACAAAGCATAAATCACTATTTTGTTTGTTCTGTTGCTAGACATGCTGAACAAGAAACCACTGCCAGACCTGTGAAATTCTTCCATTAATCCTACTCGGGTGATTATGTCCAATACTCTTGGAACCATGAAAAAATGTTTAAACATATTTCTCTAAAACATAATATTTTCCTAGTTACAGTAAGCACTAGCTAGAATACTTGACTTAAATCACTTTACATAACTTTTAGTGTTCTTATTTTCCAAAAATTATTTGAAAACTGAGTGGTTTAAAACCATAACATAGCTTCCAAAGAATAGAACACATTGGGTAAAAGTTTAGTCTTTCAATACTTCTGTTTGCTACTGAATCCTTGGAGTAAACAAGCACTCTTTTACCCAGTTTCTGCAAAGTATTTGCCTTTTGTTTCAGACCCAAAACAGGCAGCTGAATGAGGTAATGCCTGTATCTCCTAAGCCAGGAATGTATTCAGATTGGGCACTGAAATAGGATAGGAGGATAATACCTGCTATTTTATAAATTCAGGGTGAACTTCAGCTCAGCTTCCAGATTGCTGTACTCAGAGGAAAGAACTAGGACTGCTTATCTGAACATAAAAAACTGACTTCTTAGACACTGACACAAAGCTTCACATTGGTGCCCTAAAATGCATTCAAAACACATTACAGTTACATAAATACACATTTTAAATTAAGAGTGTCTTGTGACAAAATTGCATCAATTTAAGTGAGTCACTTAAACACTACCTTGTCTTCAACAAAAATGCTGCTTTCAAATTCTCTCATTTAGAAGCAGGTGTTTTAACCTCAGTTTTCCTGAGGTAGAGGGTGAATAGATGCTGTTTCTGAGTGAGCTACAGAGATCCTCTGAACACTCTGCAGTGATCATAAAAACACAGATCTGTTTCACCAAAAAAAGCTCTTCTGCATTCCTGATACGACATTAGAGAATAATCTTCTTTAGACATCAAATTCAGACAAACACAACTTTCAGAAGTACATTAAATAATATTTATTGAGTTTGCAATTTCAGGGGGAAAGCTATAATTTCAGTCCCAGCTATTCATATACTGTGACACAGAGCCCTCATGTTCTTTCATCCATTCAACAAATGAACAATAACATGGAAAAATAAAGAGGGAGGTTGAAAAAAACAACCCTATACTCTCAGTTTTGAAAAAAGGAAACAAACTGAAGTCCTGTTCTCATTCACAAATACACTTGTCTTCTTGATTAAACATACTATATTTTTATAGAAGAACAGACTCATCCTTCTGATGTTTGGGAGAAGGTATGGGATGGTTGATCTGAAAGAAAGCAAAACTATGTCAAACACAGAGCTTTTCCATATGAACACAATGAGAGCTAGATGGTTAATGCAGACTTCAGACTGCAAAGAATTTCTGACAAGAGGTAAGTACACTTTCCTCTTAGGAAACCTTTGTGTCTGGGACTGATTCAGTGGGTGCATATAGTTAACAAACCACCAAGGTTTGCCTGTAAAATCTTATGGCAGAGGATGTTTTTATTTTCACCATGGTGACCCTTCTGGATAGTAAAAAAGGCATCACATAATATACAGAGATTCATATTTACAGAAATGGCAGAAGAGGGAACTGGATACAGTGACATTTCTGTCCAGGCATTAACAAAATCCCTTGTGTATATTCAGGGATTGTTCACAGTTCCTTTAAGCAAGTCCTTTTCTCTGCACATAGGTTCTCTTGTTTTGCAAATGAGACCCAGCAGGATACCTCACTATAAGAAACAGATGCTTGCTCTCCCTTAAACCATGGTCATGACTTTCAGAGAGGCAGGTTGGAATCTCCTTATCTTCTTCTTTAGTGCCTTTGAAGCTTTGATGCGACAGATTTTGGGCACAGGGGGAAGAGGCTTGGAAGAGGCCTGGACAGTCCCCGATTGTCTGACTGAACCTTCAGGCCAAATCAGTTCACTTTCATCCCCCTCATCGTAGTCAAGGGCAAGACTGCTACTGTTACTGCTGCCATCCAAATCGCTTTCACTGGACTCACTGTCCCCAAAACGGTTAGTTGTGAAATCGCTGACCTCCCCTTCGCTGGTCTCTGCAATTGTGGAATGAAAGAGGGAAGCGCACTCTGCAGAGTACTCTGAGTGGTCTGACTCACTTTTGGCATAATCTCTGTGGGGCTGATTCTTGGAGCGAGCCCTCATACTGACAGTGCGCAGGACACCGGCTCTCCTTGCTGGCTGCCTTGGCGCTCCCAGGCCAAAGCTATGAGACACACTGGCCAGGTTGGCCTTGGCAGAGATCTCCACTGTGGACTGCCACTTGCGCTGCTTCTTCTTGTTGGCTGTGTCTACACAAGCTGCTTCGAGGGAATGCAGTGCACTGGCAGAGGCTCCGTAGAGCTCTGGCCTGGATGACATGGTGGGGAGCCTGACTTGCACAGGGAACAGACTAGACTCTGAGCATGACCTGCCAGTCACGTCACCAGAATAAGAAGGTCTCCGCACGAGATTCTTCACTCCTTGTGGCCTTTGGGGCTGATTCCACTCAGCAGGCAGCCTGGTGGCCCCATGGGACCCTCTTGCCTTCTCCATGCAGAAGGCTTGCTTCCCAGACCGTAGTACCTTTTCACTGTTCCTCCGCTTTATCTTCACTGCCTTTGTTTTGGAGCTGGCAAACTTTACCCGGACTTGGTGAGATTCTGCAGGGACAAACTGAGCATGAACAAACTCAGTTCCTGCCACTAGCTCATGACCCCCAGTGCTAGTCAATTTGGCATTGTCACACCTTTTGAGGGGCAGCTTTCTGGGTGGGACAGCTTTAGCATTCCAGGTCTCTGGGCTAGAGTCCTCCTGGCACAGCTGTGAGTAGGATGAACTGTGCTCTGTGCTGCTATCCATTGCTTCAGCCAGAGGAGAACCCCTTGCTGCTGATTTGGCAGGGTAACAACTATTCACAGCTGATGGCTCTGTATCAGGCCGAGTGAATGGCTGTTCTTCATTCACACAGTGCATGGTCTCATGCTGCTTGGCACATTCCTCCTCTGACACCTCTCTCGACAGCTTCCCTTCAGCTTTGCTACTTTCCAGAGAACTCGCCTGTTTTTCCAGCTGGCTACTGCTGCTGTTAATTTTCACTCCGCCGGCGCTGGGGGTTATAATGAGTCTCTGGTGCATTGCGGCTGGCTGGTTCTTTGTTGGAACCCATTCACTGGCATCAGCCCGACTGTTCCCTTTGCATCTCGTCAGCTGCAGTAATTTATTGATGTAACCCCCCGGCTTGGCCTCAGTGGTTGGCCTAGTCCTAATCAAGCTGGGACCTGTCACACTAGGCATAGGTTTGTTGGGAGGATCCTGGAAGTCCATTTCTGGGGATGTGCCCACCAGGGAGAAAAGGGGACTTTGTAAAGCCACAGCATGAAGGGGGCTTGGGTAAGGATACACATCAATGCCATTCTTGGAGACCAAGTCATTCTGGAATTTGGGGTCCACACTGAGGAAGTGCATGTCTCCGTTATGGCACAGAGGCAATATGGATTTGGGATCCGTCTCTTTCTGAAATCTAGCATCTGCTGGAGGGAGTCTTTCCAAGTCACCTACATGGTGGATGAAAATAAACAACCTAATTAAATCACAGACAATTACATTCAAACTGGCTCATGCTAAAAGTGCTATCTCAGGGATGTGATGGCTTTTACTAAAATCAGTAGCATGAATAAAGAAAGTAATTTCAGTCTTCCAAGGTCAGTGAATTACTTTAAAGCTTTTATTCACCTAAGCATAACAGAGATTAGAACGCCTTTTAATGCCAAATAATAAAACTCTCACCTTTGCAAGAAATTTAAACTGTGCTACTTGGATGAAAGTAAATCTGTGCATATATATATCTGTCACACATAATGGGAATGCGACTAAACAAAAATAAGGGATTACTTTTATTTCTAAGCAGAGAAGCCACAGAAGAATGAATTGAAGAACCTTTACTTTGACAGAGGAAAAAAAATCTAAGGTTAACTACTCAGGCAGGTGGAAAGAGCAGTCCCTGAAGATGACATTTATGGCCATCAATTCAGATCTCTTTAATCCTGGAGTACTGTCAAGGTTGCTGTAAGTTACTCTTGACTGCTGCACCTTTCCCTCAGAAGCACTCCCTGTGTACAGAGAGGCTGTGTTTTTGTGTGAAGAAAGGTTATTCCATTCAGACGCATCATCCAATAGAGCATTATGATGCTGTGTTACCTCTGAGACTAAGCATACCGGAATCAGTTATCTTGGATTTTTCTGTACAACAATGCAAACTTCAGTGCCAACAAATCCTCACCTAACCACTTTCCTGGATGCTTCATGCTAACATGAAACTCAACCACCAAACTCAACCATGTAATTCCCAAACAGTGGCTATTTATGTCCTGTGACAGGAAGCTTTGGAAAGACTCCAAAATTTGGAATTGTCTGCAGTGTCCTACCTGAGGCACTCACAGACCTGCTACAGCAAAGATTAGGAAGATGGTTTCTCAAACAAGTTAATTTCATAATGACAATTCTTTAGGGAATTGTTGGCAGCACGTAATGGTGCTCTCTCATACAAACAAACCAGGAAGCTGTCAGAAGAAAGCTGTGCTTGTGGTGTCTCAGCAAGCCTTCTGCTTGCCACTGAAAGAAACGGCAGTTGGTTTGTACCTGCAGTTACCTGTGGGGACAAGCTAAGGAGTGGAAAAGAGAAATTTCCTCCCCTCTCCAAATGATGATTTTAAGTAACATCTTGCTTCACTTCTTGCAGTGTGGTCAACTTCGTAAGAATTGTTCCTTCAAGACTACACTCACTACTACTTCACTACTTATGTTTGTCATATGGAAGGAAGTAAGAGGTTGTAGCCAGGAAGAAGGGAGATGGTGGTGGAAAAAGAAAGGATGTCTGAAGGAGGTCTGTAGCCTCTCTCCCACACCCCTCAATATCAGCTATTCCTTTTTTTGCTAGTCTATCTCTAGATCCAAAAATCCATAGAGTCGCTGGGGTCTCAGCAAAATGTTGCAAGGCAGGAAAGTTTCTGTTTGAGCAAAAGATCTGTAATCTGAACATGGAAGTCATGGATCATTAAACTCAGCTTAATCCCCAGCCTTTGACAAGCCTTGAGAAGACTTTGCTTTTATGCTATAATTTACCGCCATCTCTTCAGGTGTGTCTGCACACATAGGTATAGAACAGGTCTTTGTGTCTATTCCAAGCAAGCCAGAGGTGAGTTAGCTCACATCAAATAGGTGTGGGAATGATTCCAGAGTGACATGGTACTTGGAATGATGTTCCCTATGGCTTCTCTGTTTCTATAATGGAACTGTCACACATCTCACTGGATCACTATAAGAATTGTACTAACAAAAGATTGCTTTGAGGCCATGGAAGAATCCATAATAAGAAGTGATATGATGTCACTTCACAGATGGTAAACAAGAGATATGGAATGTTAATGGACTTGTACATTTTGTCTAAAGGTATGATGCAAACTCATGGTTGATCCACTATTAGGCTCATGACTGCTTTCTAGATAATTAACTTTTGGCCTCTGTTGTCCCTAACTGTACATAATAAATTATGAAAACGAGTTATTGTTTGAGTCCACATTAATTAGAATAAATAGGAAATTTTGAGTTCACTTTAGATCTTTCATACATACCTCCACCTTCACACAAGGTATTTCAAATATTGAAAATTTTCTGATTTCACATGCAGGTCAATTAAAAAAAAATATCTCAACATTCATTACAATTTTATCTCATATACTAATGTATTTTCCATTTCTAAATGCAGAGGCCTCACATTTGTTCTTGTTTCATCCATGTACTTGTTACTGTTTCATCCCTGTATTTGATATTGTTTAAAAATATCTGAGTATGGAGACAAGTGAAAGTTGGACAGTAAAGAGTTTGGCTCTGTGGTTTTGATCAATTCTCTTTTTGTGTATTGAAAAGGAGAGTTATATATTGATTAAACATTGGTATACAGGGTCCTAAAAGGAATAACCAGGAATCTGCTCTTCTCTTGAATGAAGTATCCAGTTCTGCCATCAATTACCTGTGGAAACTGGCCTTGGTCTGGACCTGGCAGGAGCTGCAGAAACATCTCTGCTAGCTGTAATCTGACATCCATCGCTGACATAGGTCCCCTGCTGTTGGAAGCTGGTGGTGTGCACAGTAGTTTCATCTGCAGACTTGGGTCGGCAATCAAACACACTGAGCCTTGCTTTAGGGTGTTGAGAGCTGGGCAAGAGACTGGTGTGGGAGGAGGAGATGGATTCACTGTACACAGAGGTACAGGAATTGGATAGTGAGCAAGAACCACCGTCGCTCAGGTCATAGAATCCTGTAGAGTTAAAATAAATAGGATATTTCATACTTACAGCAACTAAACATGCTCTGTAGAAGAAAAATGCAGAGAATACAATAAATCTTCATTTGCAATGTGCCACAAGCCTACATTTATGATCATTTATTTAGGTAACATTAGCACAGGTATACTCTAATTCAACCAAACTTTACTGGGCTTCTGCATATTTACTTAGGCCCTGAGCCAGCCTGGTACACACATGCCTGCTTAGTTCTGAGGGTGGGGGGGGATGGGGTGAAGTGTAGCACCATCACACCCAGTTCTTCACTGGAGAACGTCTTTGGGGACTATTATGCAACTGGTGTAAAATAGGGCCATCTTACACTGTTGTAACTTGTGCTGGGTGAATAGAAACACATATTGGATGGGAAAGTAGAGTAAAACTAGCCTGTGACCAGAGCTGCCAAGCCTATGATAGATGGAATGGAAGCTATCTTCCCTCTTCAGATCTGGAGATCATTGCCAAGTAATTATGGAAGTATTAAAAAAGGCTCTGTATAAATTCAAGACAGGAATTTTTATTATTTCTCTCTATAACAGAAAAGAAGCTGTTTCCTTTTGAACTATGTGCATGTGCCTAAGTGCACATATCCTGAACTTAAATGCTCAACAGAAACTTGCACGTTTTATGTCCCCTTTAAGTACTAGGCTGCAAATCTGTATGCTGTATAAAAAGAAAATAAATCTTCCCTTGTCTCACTGAAGACTTGAGGCTTTCCAAAATTCTGTTTATAAAGAACTACTCTCATTGTCTCAGACTAGATAACAGAAACCGGTTTTAACAGACACCCTAACTATAAAAGTCTGCAGTACAACTTTCTCTGTGAATCACACCAGTAACCTAATACCCAGTATTTTTCTGTTTGTGAGATCTTAACTCAGCAAACTTTTGGGGTGTTTTTTCTCAGTGTCTTTTAATAGAGCTGTTTTGTTTCTACATAAATGATCAAACATTCATTTGGCTGGAGCACTCCAATACTAGTGATCTTCAAAGCCTTAGTGAGGTTCAGAACCCTCCTGGATCCGAGCAGAGCATTGATATGGATGTTGGTCTCCTTCACTTCTTTTAAGTACTCTAGCCACTTTGCCAATGGTTATTCTACACTGGATAGTTAATTTAGGTAATTAATAACTAAGGTATATAATAATATAAGGTAATAAATAATTAAGGTAATTAATAAGTACATGTCTCTTCCTCCTCCCATGCGTGGCTACAAGGTTAATTTTAAAATAAAATTAAAAAAATCCAGAAAAAATACTGTTAGAGTGAACAAATCCTTTCCAACTAAATCAGCTTCTCAGCAGAATTCCTATCACCTCTGTGAGTTAGCTCTGTGCCAGATGACTACTCTACCTCAGCCATGGGACACTGTTTCTGACCAAACAATACAGGGAGTTTTGCTTAGCAGTTGACACTCTTCAGTTCTCCCCGCACCACACCCCATGAAATAAATAGCCAAGTGCATATTACCTGAGCTGGGCCGGCTGTCACTATCCAAGTATTCACTGGAGGTCTTACTGACATCCAATTTCAGCTCACTTATTCGCTGGTCTAGCTGATCCAGGTGGCTTTTCAAGCCGACATCCTGTCTCCTCAAACGAGACTAAATCACAAGTCGAGGGAAGAAGGAGGAAATGAAGAATAATCACAGTCAGAATCTTAGCAACAATGCATGAATTCAGGCCACCTGTGCCAGCCAGATTCTGCTCTCATTAAGTGTTTTGCTTAGTTAGGGACTGTTGCAATTGGCTCTCTGTAATGACACTGACATAAGACAAGGACAAAACATTTTGTTTCTCAGTATATATTGTCTTCTGCCCAGCTGAACATGTTCTCAAATTTTAAGCTTTGGGTTTATTGTTACACTTATGGCAGGAACTCTATCTCTAAATAGAATAGCAATCTTTTAACTAATTAACATTTTCTTATATGTACTGCACTCTGCCTCTGAGCAGAGAAGGAGATAAATGTTATGGATTGTCTGCCTGATGAAAGCAAACTCCTGTATGTAGAGGTACCTTATTGCCACACAAAGTTAAGGTAGCATACTCAATGCAGTAAAACCCTTGGCTTTGATGACGTGTTTATAGTTGAAAGGATACACTGCAAGAATTGTGATATCTATTTTGCTGCAAGTTTTCCTTGCATGTCTTATGGCTAGATATTTCCACCCGTTTTGCGCAAGAAGCAGCTAGCATTTGAATACTGATGGAAAAATTACTGTATTTAAAATAAAAGGTGTCTCAAGTTTGTCAATAATCTTTCAGAAGCCAGCAGCAATGTCTGTTGTCTACTGCAAGTAGTGACCAGGTTGATCTGAGGTAACAGCTCCCGCAGTTGCTCCCCCAGTATTTGTGCCGTCAGCTTGGAGAGGCAGATGGCCGGGCGTTAGGTACCAGCCAAAGAACCACAGTTGGTTTCTGTGACAAACTTCTCACATAGCACTTGGCAAATTATCTATAGCCCAGTCACTATTTAGGCAGCTTCTAATTATATCTCACCTCACCATGCATCCTACAGTACTTTACAGTAAGGTTATACAGAAAGGTGGTCTCTTGAAGCTGGTTGAAAAGTTGTGCTCAAAGCCCTCGAGGGTATGGGTTTCCACTCAGTAATTGTAAGAAAAACATGATTAAGATTCTTCTTTATGTGTACAGCTCACATTTAAAAATACAAGTGGTAGTTCTAGCAGCATTTCCAACCTCAAATATGAAAACCAAAAAATCTAGGTCTCTTGAACCAATTAAAGTATCTGCAAAATTAAATGATGTGCAGAAAATCAAAATCCGTATGTACACATTTTCAACTTCACTTTCCTTTTGTATGGATTATTCAGCTTTTAATATTTGCATTTTTAGGTTTCTCCATAGCTGTAAATACTAAAAGAAAAGAAAGATCCTGACATCCTAAAGTAATCAGTAAATGATTAGGAACTGTGATGGAAGGAAAACAGAGAAACCAGACAAAAGACAGATGTCCCAAGTTTCACAAAACAACTGTTAGGGCTGGTGATGCTGCTGAGAAGAAAAAAAAAGGTATTCTATTGTGCTTTTACAGACAGCTGGAGGAATATATAAGACAAAAGAAACAAAGCCCCTTTTTGTTAGCATCACACTTCTAGAAAGGTTTAAGCTCAAGTGGCTCATCACTGCTTCCTAGGAAAACCCATGGTGATTTTCCCTTTTCCTGTTTCATATAACCAAAAGGAAGAGAAAAACTGGATAATAAAGGAGATTTTCTATCCCATCTGAATGATGAATGTATGACCTTGTCAGTACTTCTTTATTTCCTGACAAAAAAGCAAAACCATGCCATGCCTTCTTCAATCCCACCTACTCAGGAAATCACAAAGTTTTGTTTTCATGGCTGGAATTAATTGCTTAATGATTAATGTTTTGCCAGCCAATCCCTCAGCCTGTGGTTTCTGATTAATGACAGAGAGGCCACAAGGCTCTCAGGTATTCAAACATTATTTATTATACCTCCAGGTTCTGTCTGCGCTTTCACAGCATTTTAACCAACACACATGATTTACATCATCGTTTTTAACTCTTTTATGGTGTCTCACACCATTGGGTTTCCAGCAGACTCCATAGCTTTGATCTTTCAGCTAACTACTTCTGCACTCAGGGAGGAGAAGCATTCCTCTAACCATTTGGATAAGAATGACTTTTCCGGTGTGTTTGTTTGAGGCTGTTATTGCTCCAATACCCACGTTAAGCAGCACTCAAAAACACACTCTTTCTCAACTCACAACATGAATTTTACAAGTGACAAAACCTCACAGGTAAAACCAAATGTTTGCGTTGGGCAATGTGGCTGTGAAGACTTTTGTACACTGCACAGCGTGGGACCAAACTTTCCAAAACACCTTGTACTATGAATGGACTACAGTTTTGGAGAGCCAAATCTGGCATATCACCATACCACACATTTTTCAGAATAAAGAACACTCTCTGAAAAGCAGGTTCCTTTACAGCAACACAAGCTGACACCTCAAATTAAGGCACCAAACCCCACTGGTCATACTTGACTATTCTCAACTATTAATGTGTTATAAAGGGGGGTGTGTGTGACACATTGTTTGTAGTCAGCACCTGATAGTTCTGTTACTCTGACTGTATTTTGGAATGCACAAAAGACAGAATTCGTACCTGGTTTTGCCCATCTAAAAGACCTCTGGGTCTTTTTGTAACTGATGGTGCAAAGCAGCCAATTTCAGAGGAAAATTAATATCACCTATCCTAGACCTGTATTCTAGAGTGTGATGAATTCCTTCTGGAAGCATCTCTTTCTCTCAAGTTGACAAAACTTGAAGTTAGTTTATTAAAAAAAGATAATATCTCTGGTTTAAAAGATGTCTTCTCCTATTTAAAATTATCTAAAGGGGAAAAAAATTCTGTGTAAAACACTGGGTATCAAGTGTTTGGTTTTTTCTCTTCAATATAATGTGTCCATTCTCACATTTTTATAACATCATAAATCATCTGAAAGCTTCCAAAAACAAGATCATCAGATTCAAATCAAATAAACGGTTTATAAACATATCCTCTGAGGAAAGAGCTGAGAAAATACTGAGTGTTGTAGCCTTTGATATCCACCTACTTGAAAAGTGATCATAGGTTTCTTTCTTTGCATTAGCCTGAATTTGCATCTCTTCTTTTTCCTCTATATCACCATGATACTGTTTGGCTAAGAGAAGTTTAGTAGCTTTGGGATCTCTGACGGTGGGCAGCATCACTTAACTCTGCTCCTCTTCTACTAGAGTTGACCCTGCTGGCACTGTAGTAATTTGCAGCTGTCAGAAGACCCTGGACACCAAAAAGAGCCACTGGCTGGGGCGACACAGGATGTGACTGTTAGGGGCAGCAGACTGCCTACATCAGAATGTAGGCTGTTAGACTACAGGCCAGCTGCTGTCTGTCTCTGGTAAATGCTGTTAGGGAGAAGACTGGAATTCTGTAATGGCATCTGCACCTAGCCCCCATGGCACTTGATGGCTTTGTTCTGCTCGTTTCCACTACTGGGACTTGAGGGTACTGACTCTGCTCTTCTGTTTCTTACCCTACCATTATAGGAGAAGCCTGGTTTGACTTTTTATCTGCCTTCTTTCCATCACTGAGATGCCCTGAGCCAGCTCCAGCTGACACAGCTTCCCGATTTTATGTTGCAAGAACCAAACTTTTTATGAATTAACCCACGACCACGCTAAAGCCCAGAGCTACAGCCCTCCTTGAAACTTGGATCAAGATACACTGCAAGGCAAAGCTACATTTACATTGTTAATGAGTTTCTCAATCTGAAAGCTTACAGAGCAGCAATCACATACTCTTATCATCCATGGGCCAACAACAACAATGAAGACATAACACTCCTTGAGCAATGCTGTGCTTTGCATTTTCTGTTGTTTTCAGTTTTAACCTAATTTCCTGCAATCACGAACAAAATTTTCATGGGTTTTGAGTGCAATACACTGCTTACGAGTCACCAAGAAAGTTTTCCACCTGTGGTCACTGAGATCCTAGGACCTGTGGACTACTTCTAACGGGATGGTGAAAAGCCTGTTTTCAACTGGGTTTACTTTGCTATTAAGCAGCTTTGAGGTCTGCATCTCTACTCAAATATATGTCTGCAGTTTGCAGGGGGAAAAAACCAATAAAGGTAACAAGTATGCCTGAGCAGCAGAGTCTGAAAAGCTTCCAGAGCCATGGGTCAATTAGAAGAGCTTTACATCACTACTTTAAGCATTCACAGAACTGTATTTTTGCTGAAGAACCTACCCCTGGATTTATGTAGTCATCCCTCTCAAGCTTTATGAACACTTCCCTTCCAGGCACCCTAAGAAACACGTTTCCCATAATTGCACTGGCACCTACTGGTGAAATCCATCCCTCTCCAGAGGTGTACAGAGTTACTTTTGTCCACTCAGCTCCCACATTTCTAAGGGAAGCAATTAAAGGCTGTTTTTTCCTTCTGTTTTAACGGCTAGTTTCTCCCACGTGCTTGGAAAGCCTTGAAAGGCGGCAGTAAGGTCCTGAAAAGCCAACCTTCAATTTAATATTTCATTTGAAAAATATATAAACAAGTGAGTAATTAAAGCACAACAGCTAACATGAAAAAAGTACAGTCACTACAGTCAGAGGTCATTGGGTGATTCTGTTACCCCAGAAGCCCCAGACAGGCAATAAATGCTTTCAATTCTTTTGTTTAGTTAAAAAAAAAAAAAAAAAAAAAAAGAAAAAATGTAGAGCCGTTACTTAAAATTATCAATGACAGGTAATCAAGCAGCTGACCGTCCACTTGTCCTGTGTCTTCTTAATCAAGATATGCCTGCTGCTGTGTTTTCACAGAGTGGTGGTTAGGTTTCCCTAAAGGTTAAAGCCAGTTTTATTCTGAGATGCTGCCTGATAAAGATGCCTATGGGAAGCAAATAACCATGCTGTTTTCACACCTGATTGATAACTGATGGCCGAGCCTTCCAGTAGTACAGGAAAGGAAAAAATTCTGAATTAAGTCTGAGTTTACTGAAGTGTGTAATTGCCCACACTAGACATTAACGCCCTTTACCCTTTGATTGTTGTCTCACCTATGAAACTCGTTTCAGCTTCAATTCAGTTTTTTTCAGTTTCACAAAAAAAGCTGTGCAAGCTGCCAACGTAACACTTTAAACACAAGGCCTGGCATTCAGTTATTCTTCCCTTTTGATCACGCAATCCGTGGAAAGAACAAAGTGCTCCTGGCCCATGAAGCCTTTCCTGGCGGATCGACTCCCACGGGCGCACACCCGCGCGGGCACACATAGGTGTGCGCGCACACGCCCACCCGAACCCCTGGGCGCTTAGTCTGTGCCTGTGTATCTCCCTCCGTGTGCCTTTTGATCTCCTTATGCAAACGGCTGCTGCCACTGAGAGCCGAGCGCTGTACTGCTGAAGTTAATCATCACCTACTCCTCGGCTCCGGTGAATGAGCGGTGCTGGATTAACAACTTCTCCCGAGCGCTTCTCCTGGCACGGAGCCCGCTACCAGCTCTGTCTGTTTCGGGCCGCCCAGGTGAGCCCCGCCTGAGGAAAGGAAGCTCCCGCCTGCTATAGCGGGGCTGTAGCCGCGACTCGCACCTGCCCGCGGGGGGAGCTGCGGCTGGCGGGGCGGGGGCAGCGCAGGGGCCGCGGCTGCAGCGCCTGCTTGCTCCCGGTCCCGTCACGGCGCCGGCGGCTGCAGAGGCGGGGCCGGGTGTCCGGCAGCCCGGCGGCGCTCCCCTCCGCTCGCCCTCAGCACCGCGGCTGGACTCACGAAGCCGGGTAACGGGGCAGCGGGGCGTCCCGTGCCGTACCGTCCCTTACCAGCTGCTCCTTCAGGGCGGAGAGGGTGGCCTCCAGACGGTGCTCCTTGCTGTGGGCGGACGGGGGCTGCTCTTCTCCGCCCGCCGCCGGCCGCTGCGGCATAGCCAGGGCGGCCCGCACCAGCTCCCGCTGCTTCTCCCGCAGCACCTGGAGCTCCTGGAGGCCGGCCAGGGCCGCCTGCAGCCTTTCTCCCACCCGGCCGCGATCCCAGCCTCCCGGCCGCGGGGCGCCCAGCAGCATCGTCAGCGATGGGCCGCGGCTCCGGCCATGGCAGTGGGGCGGCGGGGAGGCGGCGGGGCTGCTCCTGCCCCGGGCCGTGCCTGCGGCAGGGTCTGACCACCCCGCTCCGCCGCTGGCAGTCGAGCGAGTGAAGCAGAGCTGCAGCGGCTCCTGCGGTTTTGGAGAAGAGGTGGGGACAGGGGAGGGAGAGAGGGAGGGCGGGAGCGAAGGGAAGAGGCTGCGGCTCCAGGCAGTGCCGGGGCCACCTCTCGGGTGGATACGCGAGGAGAGCAGCCCGTGCCCGGCGCTCCCCCCGCCCCGCGCAGGGGGCGGCTCCCGCCTGTCCCGTTCCTGCCCCTGCCCGGGGGGCTGCTCTCGCCTCTTTCCCCGCCCCGGGGGTGAAGAGGGGTGGGGTACCCGCCTTCTCCGGGGAGAGACAGGTCCTGGGGGGCCAACAGGCAGGTCCGGGGCGAGAGCGCCGGTCCCGGCCGGCAGCGAGCCCTCGGGATGCTGCGGAGATCGGAGCTGAGCCCAGCGTCGTGCTGCAGCCGCGTGCAAATGGAAGTGATGCGAGGGTATAGTGCTGTGAGCTCCCAGGTATAACAATGCTTCCTTCACAAAAACGTGGCGTTTGTAACTCCAACGCTTCTCCTCCTGGCTGGTGGTGCCCCCAGCTAGGCACAGCACTGGCACTCCTTAATTGCTCTCCAGGAACCGACCCAACTGGGATCTCACTGCACAAGTTCGCTGTCATGTACTGAATTGTTGATTCTCACTTTGGAAGCAAGGCAGAGTCCTGTCTTGAGGACAAGGTGTGGCTCAGCTCTCTCCCTTGCCCCAAGGTAATACGAAGGGCTTAAGATTTGCTTTAAATGGGACGTGAAAACACAGCCGTGGAAATTCAACGCTACGGTGCTGTTGCTACCAGATAATGTCCGCATTTAAAGCCCCCGAGACAGGCAGCTGCAGCTTCTTCAGAGGTAGCTGGTTAGCAGGCAGCAAAACCATAATGTGTAGTCTGTAGTGATGCAGTGGGGGAGAGGAAGCCCTGATACCAAGAGCCTAATGAACACAGTGGAGATCATGGTACAGGAGACTTAATTTTTCTACTGCCTGCACTGAACTAGGAAGCATTTGGATCCTACAGATCCCAGGATAACTCTGCGCCACACTCTTAATTTACATAATTTCGGGAAATGTGTATGATTCCCCATAAGGCAGTAAGCACATGCACAGCCCATCTGTCTGTGGTTATGTTCTGTTCACCCTGTGGCATATCTTTAAAAGCTGTCATACTTTAATTTGAATGTTACTTAACTTTGTGCTGGGGTACAGGACTTTGGTGAGCAGGAACCTGTTGCTCTGTCATCTGTTCTTCAAGGAGCCTCTTCTCAACACCACGTGTGGGTGGCTGTGCCCACCACTTAGCACTGTAGCCAGGCTAACTTTCCTTGTAGCAGTCCCTAGCTTTACAAATGTTAAAAGCAGTAGTCATGTCAAATCCAGTTCTTGCTGGGGGGCAGAGAGGCAAATTATTCCCGTGTTTGTTCACCAGGTGCCATGCAACACATTATTTGATAGTCTCAGTAGAACCCAAGCTTTGCTTTCATAATGTCACTTTCAACAGTTTTTATGTAGCTTGAAGATTTGAAAATGATGTTTACCTTGCAATGTTGAACTATGTCAGAAGGGGTCCAGAGAGGCCCTGTTCTGACATGTTGTGCACAACTAATAACGGATGTCTCCATCTGCAGATGGAACAGGAATGACTGATGGTTGTACAGTGCTTAGTTCAAGTATGTGAGATATGACTTGTATGACATCACCTAAGACATGTTTTGTTGTTGGTTTTTTTTTTGGTTGATGAATATACCTCTACTCTTCTTCCTTCCCAATTCATCTCACAGAACTTCCCTGTGCAGAGCAATGCTTCAGTGCCAGGATGACTGAACCAGTCACCAGTATTCATTTACAAGGTGGAAAGAAAAACTGGGTTCAACACCAAGATGCTCTTCAAGGTGCTGACAAAAGACAGCATGAAATTCTACCACCTCTCAGATGGAATGTGGTGAAGAACCAAACAACTATCTCTGTATGGCATGTGGCAAGAATCTTGCAAAATGCTGTTGCAGGTATAAGGAGTGAAGCGTTTTTGTAAATCACTTGGCTTGGCACTTGTTAAAACAGACATACAGTGCAGTTCCTTATTTTATTCAAACCATGTTCTAACATGACCAAATACAAGTCACTGACAGAACTACCATTTAGTATATACTTGGTAGGAGAATTAGATATTATAAGGTCATATATTTTTCTTTTTCCCCTTCTCTTTCCCTTGCATGGAACTGTTATCCCTTCCTCTTTGTTTTTCCTCTTCTTTCGTCATTTTATCTTTTCATACATGAATTCCCAAATGGGCTATATCACAGCAGTATCTGTATTCTAATCAGCTTCCTTATTATCCCCTCTGTTGTACTGATTACTTTCTTCCCCAGAACCCTTATGATGTCACTTAATCTTTTCAGATAACTCAACAAATATCTTGTGTTATCTGATTTCTGGAGGAAAGAATAAAAGGTGTGAATCACACCCAAATTTAAAACCACGAGATTATGTGGAGGAGGAGTAGCAGTAAAAGTGAAATTTGCACGGTAGGGACTTAGAAAACTTCTGCTATTCTTAATGACTTACAGATAAGAATGTTCAATATTGATACTCTGTAAAGTTTCACTAGACTTTAAGAATTAATTAAAAAAAGCGAGCAGTCTATAGGTAACACCTTATTTTGCTGTCTAGCTTTAGCACACTGAATTTGAATGCTTAAGCTTTGCTTGCACTTTTCAGGAGCCAAAAGGTTTGACTTTTCATTTATGTTACCTTTTTTCCATCAATTTCTAAAACATTGCTCTGGATTTAAGCAAGAATTGGAATAAGATTTCTGTTTTCCACCTGCAGATCCTGAGGTAAATGAAATTTTGCTAAAAGCTGTAGTGAAGGAACAATATGGTTACAAAATCAGACAACAAAACAGTAGGAAATAAAACAATTTGTTTACATAATGTTATTTTACATTCTGATTTGTATTATATAATTGCACAGTGTTGTTCCATGGGTATGTTCCTCAATATGGGAACAGTGTGGCCAGCAGGACCAGAGAAGTGATTCTTCCCCTGTACTCAGTGCTGGTGAGGCCACACCTGGAGTGCTGTGTCCAGTTCTGGGCCCCTCAGTTCAGGAAGGATATTGAGGTGCTGGAGCAGGTCCAGAGAAGAGCAACGAGGCTGGTGAAGGGACTTGAGCACAAGTCCTATGAGGAGAGGCTGAGGGAGCTGGGGTTGTTCAACCTGGAGAAAAGGAGGCTCAGGGGAGACCTCATCACTCTCTACAACTACCTGAGAGGAGGTTGTAGCCAGGTGGGCATCAGTCTCTTCTCCCAGGCTGCTATCAGTAAGACAAGAGAGCACGGTCTTAAGCTCTGCCAGCGGAGGTTTAGGTTGGACAACAGGAAGAAATTTTTTATGGAGAGAGTGGTCAGACATTAGAATGGGCTGCCCAGGGAAGTGGTGGATTTACCATCCCTGGAGGTTTTTAAGATGAGACTGGATGTGGCACTTAGTGCCATGGTCTAGTAACCGCGGTGGTAGTGGATCAAGGATTGGACTGGATGATCTCAGAGGTCTTTTCCAACCTGCTTGATTTTATGATTCTATTCTATGATTCTATAAGCGTATAGAATGAAAGATACTACTCAATGCCCTCTGTCCTCGCTCTCCAGCCCATGCCTTATTTACTGCAGATCACTTAAATTGTGCACTACAGATAGAATTTTTTGCTTTTTAAAACTAAGCATTCTAGCTATTAAGTGCCTTACAGTATGAGTGAATGATGTCTTTACAACATCCCAAAAGGTATAAAGCTGGTTTTGTTTAATAAGGGAGGACCTGAGGCACTGAATTTTCTTTCAGACGTGCTTGTTCATTTTGGGTGCCCACTGGAGATGCCTTTGGCCTGATTTTTCTGTGTGCTTACTATTATACAGTTAATATATATCCATTTTATTGTTCCAAGCAGAATTCCCTTTAACTTCAGTTGTAGTTCTGAGCACTCAGCACTTTGGTAAATTGAATACTGGGTATTCTAATTTGAATCACTAGAAAAATGAGGAATACAATTAGTCCTCCTCATATGGAGCCAGCTTGGGTGTGCCTGCACCTGTGGTAGAGATGTGCCCTCAGAGCCTCATAAACTACCAGAAAGGAGGCAGGTGTTATTTACCCTCTTTGGCAGATGGAGATGTAAAGAGAGGTTAACTCTTTTACATAGAATCGAAGAGGAAATCTGTGGTAGGACTTGAAAGTGAAGCCAGATCATTCATGTGACCACAGAAGTTACTTTGCTCTCTATTTTTCGGATGCATATTAGCCAGTTTGTGTGAGACTGCTGTTAGGGGAAGGACAATATTTATTGATCTCCAGATGTGTTAAAAGAAAAGTAGTTGAATGTTTGCTTTGGATGAAGTCCAGAGTACACAAAATACTTTGGTATACCAGACAACTTCAAGACCTAATTGCAGTTTGCTTCCCACGTTTGCTTATGTTTTATTGTGAAAAATAATTCACAGGGTGTTTTGGTAACATTAACTTGTGTAGGAATATGAAGTTCTCCCTGCGTAGGTTTCGGCCTGTATTTTAGTTGAGTCTTTAGACTGTATTGATATCAGCATGTGTGGCAGTAGGTGAGAAAGGATCTCTTGACGTGACAGAAGTACAGTGCATGCACCAGCATCCTTACTTTGCCAGCCAGCCACTCTGTCCTCTGTGTTGTCCTATTGTTCTACTCTACAAGCCTTTTGCCGTTGATCCTGCTGCGGATCTCATGCAGAGACACTGCCTAAGGCGGTCTTCTGAGCTGTTGACATCTCGATGATGTTTAGAAGGTTAGTTGGAGGATGCAGTCACATGTGCATTGAGTCAAATCTAACACAAGCCTGGCAGTTTTTGGAAATGTTAAGTTCGACCATTAGGAATATACTGAAAAGGTAGTAAACCCTTATGTTGCCCGCACAGAACAGTGTAGGTTCTGTGCTAGCACTGTTTGCCAGAGAATGCATAGTAGTGTGTGTGTCCCTCTGTGAGCTGACTCTAA